ATGCTTTGCCAGTTCTGGCCTCTTCTCAGACCTCCCTCTGCTGTTTTTGTTTTTCTTTGCTGCTGCTGTATCAGTTACCAGGAAACATCTACCCAGTTCCCTCTCCTCTGATTACTACTCATCTCTTCAAAACTGTAGCTCAAAACCCACCGTGTCTGTAATATGTTACCTGCAGTCCTGCAAAATCTGGCCCTAAAACCATAAGCTGTTGACCAGTTAATCGAACCACTTTTTATCATTAGCAATCCTTTACTTACACAACACCTCTTTTATTAAAATCTTATTTGATTTACCATTTAAATAGTGCCCAAGATGCGCAGAGGGCTTTACAGACATAGAGTAAGACAAGTCCCTGCTCCATAGAAATTACAGTGTAAACAAACAACACACAAAGGTGTGTGAGAAAGTATGTGACAGTTTTTTCTCACCCCCCCCACCCCCTTGTTTCCTTCCCCAGCTACCTCTATTACATTCTCATGGGTCTCAGACTTCACCCTATAATTCTTTAAAATTCTCTTATCAGTCTGTATCCATTATCAATTTTCTTCCATAGTTCCCCCATCTCCACCCATTCATTCATTGTTTTTCATCCTTTACTACAATTTACCCACTACCTCCCCCATCTCCTGTCTGCACTTACTTTTCAACCATCTATCTTGGCTACTTATGTAGTTCCCATTACCATAGTACCTGACTGCCTTACAAGCATTAATGGATTTATCTTCACAACAGCCCTCTGAGGCACAAAAGTGCTATTATCCCCCATTTTACAGGTGGGGAGCTGAAGCACAGAAAGATGGAGTGACTTACCCAAGGTCACATACGAAGTCAGTGACAGTGCAGAGAATTGAGCCCAGGTGTCCCAAGTCCTAAGCTAGCGTGCTAACCACGGCACCGTCTAACAATTGCACTGGTGCAACTTCTTAAAACCTCTTCTCTTCTGCTTTCCCCACAGTCATAGCATCTGTTTATTTCCCCCAAAGATTTGCCTTAACTATGCAAATAAGCCAAAGGAAAAGTTAAATTGACGTATCTTAAAAGACATTTCCCTTAAAATAAATGATCACAGAAAACTGCATTCCTTTCTTTTTTGTTTAATGGCACTTTATGGATTAACAGAATATATAGGAAAATATATGTTGTTCTTCTATATCCCAATCCAACCCCATTGAAGTCAGTGGGAAGACTCTCATTGACTTTAGTAGGTGCTGAATTAGGATCCTAAATAGCATCACAACATACTAGCAATTATAATACAACAGAACAGCAACAGACAGGAGAACATACACTCCTCACTGAGTCTTACTCTGCTCTCCAAAGCATTCCGTCCCCCACAGTCCAAAGGCTAGAACGCTTTATATCTGATTGGCTGTATTGCTGGTGCCACCTGAAATTTAGTCCATCAGACATTTATTTGACCTACAAATAAATCCAGCAAGCAAGTAGCCTAGAATGTTACTCACTGACAATGTTACATGTTTGACTGACACTGTCATGGATAAAATCAGTCTGGACTCTACATCTATCTGATGGGACTATCAGTTTGCTGCCCATTACCCCAGTTCATAGGTGCTGGAACTAGCGGTGTTGGGAGTGTGGCTTGACCCCCTGTCTTGAAGTGATTTCCATCATATGCAGAGTTTATAGTTTGAATCAATGGCTCTAAGCACCCGCACCATACAAACTGTTCCCACACCACTGCCCCAGTTCTGTTTTAGAAATTCCAGTTAGTTGAAGGAATAGTGTCCCCCGAAGTATACATATAATTCACCTTGATACCATGAGAATCTTATGATTACCAGCTCCCCTCATAAATTCTAATTTCTAATAAACAGGGGAAATAGCGCTACACTTGTTACAAATAGCTCATAATACAGAATGTGTGAACATTCCAACATAAAATTAAATTGCATTAAAAAAATTGGGAAAAAAAACTGCCTCTTTTCATTTTATTTGTTTTAGTTTATTTAGGTATACAAAATATTCTTGCAGTTAGCCTGCAGCAGAGATACTTGAATTTGCTGTCTTAATACAATATTTGGACTACTGGGCTAACCATAAAATTGATGTTAGATTACCAGCAGGACACTGGGATTGAATAAATCTAACCCAAAACAATTCTGTACTTTTTAAAAAGCATATTTACAAAAAATGGGTTAATGTTGTACATTTTGGGAAGGCCCATTAAGTAACCAGGAGCCTAGTACTGGTTTAGGTACAACTTCTTATTGATGTCATTGGGGACTTAAAAAAAAAAAAAGACAATACAACAGGGCCTTGGATTATCTCAATATCCACCATGGACCTGATCTTTCAGCATTTTGCAAAAACAAAATTATTATTGTTATTATTTATATACTCAAATGTGCTAGGCACTGTACAGAGATATAGGAAGGCACAGTCTTTGTCCCGAGGGGCTGGCCAGGGGCCTGGCATGAGCGGCCCTTCTCTGCCCAGCCCAGTGCGAGGGCACTATTTACAAACTGGCAGTTGCCAGGTGCACAGTGGCCTGCCCAGCCCTGTGCTGCCAGCATGCCACTTCTCCTCGGGGGGTGGGCCTATATGGCGCCACACAGCTCCCCCCCACTCAATGCTGGAACAACCCGCTGATTCCCTATGGCCAGAGCCTTGCTGGACCCACTATGCCCAGTGCCCCCACCAGACCCTGCCACAAATGCACAGTGCCCTGCCCAGGGCCCCCCTGCCCACAGCCCCACCACAACTGCCCAGCAGCCCACACAGAACCCCCACTCCCTAGTGCCCCAACACACAGATCTTCCCTGCCCCCTCACAGCCCAGCACCATCCCCCATCCAGACAGCTCCTCCCCCATGCCCTCCCTCCCAGCTGCAGTCACCGGCCCTGTTGGGAGGTGACTGTCTGCCAAGCTTAGCTGCCTGGGCTGGTCCTGGGGTGGGGAATTGCTCCGGCCCCTGGGGGGGTGGTGCAATCACCCAGGCCAGGGCCTGCCGCAGCCAGGCTCCCTCAGGACCCACTTGCCTGGAAGGGCCCAGCCAAGCCCCTGACACTGTCATGCCTAGCTGTCCGAGACTGGCCAGGCTTCTGCACCAGTCCTAGGTGGCTCAGTTCCAGGGAGACAGAGACTCCCGGAGCCGGAGGTGCGCTAGGGTCCAATCAGAGGACAGAGAGAAGCTGGCGGGTGGGGTCAGGGGGTGAAGAGGAGCCCTCAGCGGGCAGGCCGAGAGGAGCAAGTGGTGGGCGGGGTTGCGGGAGCCAGCGGGCTGGCGGGGTCTCAGGACACAGGGCAAGAAGAGCAGGCTGGGGCCCCTTCTGAGCATAGGCCCGGCTCCAGGGCGCCACTGTAAACCCGGCACTGTTTACAATCCAATAGTGGGCATGACACAATAAGTCAGAGCTATAACAATAGATAGGGAAATGGATAGATGGACAGACAAGGGTTACAAAAATAAGGTCATGCAATCAGGGCCATCCCTAGGGGGGGTGCAGGGCCTGGGACAACCCCTCTCTACTCCCACTCCACCCCTTCCCCCAGGCCCCACCTCTTCCCGCCCCTGCTCCACCCCCATTCCACTCCTTCCCCAAGCCCCCGCCCTGCCTCTTTCCGGCTTCTACCCCTCCCACGAGCAACACCAGGAGCTAACCTGCTAATCCCCCAGGCTGCCCTGGACCCTGCTTCCCCCGAAGCGCTGGGCCCGGGGTGGTTGCCCCATCTGTCCTATGGACGGGATAGCTCTGAGTGCAATTACTTATTTACGCACATGTCCTTTCACAAAATATATTCCCTAACATGTAGCCCAAACTCTCCTCTCTATACCCACTAAAATCCCTTTCCAGGGAGGAGGTTGTTACAGGAGACCAAATGTCAGATTCCAGTTTACTGGAAAGTGACTGGAAAGTTCCCGATCAGGATGCCTTTCCCATTCCTCAGGTGCAGTGGGTCTGGCTGCTAACTTCAGTGGGAGTTTGTCTGAATGAGGACTGTAGGATCGGGCCCATGATATAGTCAGGTCAAGAATCTGATTGCATTGCATTTTTTTACATTGTGTTTTCTATTTATTTTACATTCTTTTTTGAATTACTGTAGCATGTTAGCATTCTCCCAGAGCTGATATTTTAGGTCCTGATCCTGCAAACACTGCATGTAAGAATGCTTCTGGGATCTGACTTTTAGTCACAGGAAGATAAAGACAACACATCCATGGTCTAATCCTGCTTCTGTTAAAGTCATAAAGAGTATGCCATTGACTTTAGTGGCAGCAAGATCAGGCCCTGACTTGTCTCACGTTAAAAAAAAAAAAATCAGGTTTTAACCAGTCTAGATACTAACCACTATAGAATAAATTAGTGTTAAAGTCGACAACATTTTGCATCTGAAAGCTTAACCTCAATGCTGTACCAAATTCTGCTTACTTTACCTTAGGCAAAGTATCCCACTGACTTCAAAGGGATTACCAACAACAAACTAAACAGGATTTGATCCACTAAGTGTAATGAAAAGTTTGAAGGAATCAGAAGAAGTAGGAGCCAACAGGGTGTTTTCTGAAATTCCTACGTGTGTGTATGCATGAAATAATACAAACATCCCAAATGTTAATGATCAAAGTAATAGTATGTTGTAATATATTTAGCAAGTGTAAGGGAAACAACAGAAAAATACATAAACAGAAAAGAAGAGGTACATTCTCTGGCTTGAAAGCCATTGAAGATTTGGAGCTAAGCAACAGATACTGGTACTTTTGAGAAAGGAATTTCCTTGACTCTCTCTTACAAATAATTCACTACACTTACATTGATGAGACTGCTGAAACACACTTCTTACATAAAGCATCGTGCTGAAATTTTCATCTACAATACGTTAATGTAGCAACAGCATGACTGCACTCAAGACTGACCAGGGAACTAGACAGCAAGCCAAGGAGATAGCATCCCCTCCCACAGAAACATTTTCTAGTCACATAGAAAAGTCCCCTTCATTTTCAATTTAAATTCCAAAGGTCAGAAAACATAAAACAAACCAACCTGACACTCCCAAGCAGCAGAGATAACACCTCCTCCCCTTCCTCCAAGTCTTCAAAGGAATATTAAATATGCACAGTAAAGCTCAGCATTGACCCTTGCTAATAAAAATACAGAGAAGTTACAAACCAAGCAGTGAGTCCATAAGATCTTTAAATTTACATTTTTTATTTGAACTGGAATATTATGCTCTAACTACACCAAATCTTTATCTTATTTTTGGTGCAGTAACAGTTAATCACAAACCAGGCTGAGTCAGATGACCATTAATTTCTCCTGAATGAATCATAGTCCCATAAAAGTGCAGAAACTAAAGCAGAGATACAAAGAAGAAATTCCAAAATGTTGTTGTAAAATATAAATTAACATATCAAGTGGAGTAACTTAGACCAACAGACAATTTCCATTACTTTTTACATTTTATTAGTAGTCATTAGTAGAATTGAGTGAATGCTCCAAAAAAGTATTTTCCATCACACATTAGATAAAAATGGAGAACTCATTTAGAGGGAATTCACAACCCTTTTTGTTTGTTTTCCAGGAGCATTCATGAGTGGGTTTTTTGCTTGCAAGAATGTTTCAGAAAGTAAAAATCTAATGAATTGTTGTACTAGTGTATTTATATGAAGTCTCATGTTGGAAGGGCTCACCAAGCAATGTTGAAATTTCCCTAATAAAACATTCAATCATCCAACCAAGAAGTAGAAACAATAATATGTGACTTAGGTGACCAATTAACATGCCAAATAGCGAACAACCAGATACAAAACCAACCAAATACAAAGCCGAAGCAAATAATTTATGGAGAGCCCATGAGCTGAAATATGTTCTTAATTTTAAACAAATAAACATTTTAAAAAATTAGTCTGTTTATAAGTCAAAAAGGCTATATTCACAGAATAAGGTCCCCATCCTGCAAAAAATGTACACACATGCGTAACTTCAACTCAGTTAAGTTATGCATGTGCATAAGTTTTTGCAGGATCAGGTCCTAAATTATTCACTCTGAATAGTTTTATCTAGTCAATAAGTAAATCAGGAACAAATATTTATTCATGTAAACTATTTATAGTTGTTAATATCAGCATAAAATCCTTCATTCTTTGCTCACCCAAAACATCCATTGAATTCATGGGGAATTTGAGAGGTGTAAACAATTTCCGACATTAGTAAAGTTAACTTTTAATCTTAGACAAATAAGTAGGGTTTGATCCTGTATTCTTTATGCAGGCAAAATTCCTAATCAGACATAGATATAATAATATCAGTGTTTGAGCTGCACTGTTATAAAAAGAATTAATGTAACATGTTTTGTGTGCTGTATCTTAAAATACTGCATTATATTTATGTCGATAATAACAGGGCCTATGAACCATTTAAGTCCCACTTAAATAGTTAAGATAGGGCTTAACTATGACTTAAATGGTGCATAGACCTTTTCTGGACGCACTGCATAGGAATGAATTTAATCATTTATGAATGGACACAAATAAATACACAGATGTTTGGTTAGCCAAGCTTGGAATTTCTATAATAATGTAGTCTGAGGCCAAGATTCTGGTCTTAGTTAAGCAGGTGCACATCATTGTGCATTTCATAACAATGGATGCCACACATGCAAGCCTGTACAAGCTCAGCAGATGATTCTACTAGATAAGCAACATGTGCCCATGCATCCTGGAAAAGAATCAAGCCGTAAAGTTCTTTGGGTGCCCAGGGTGTTAACACAAGTATTAAAATGGTTTATAATGTAACTAGATAATTATAGTATTATCCTAAAGGAAAACAATGTATTACAGATTTTGACCCACAGTTAGGAATGACCTGGAGGGCAAAAGTTATTGCAGCCTACCCCAAATCTGGCTTGCAAAGAACACATAAGAACATAAGTGACTTTTTTTAAAATGTAGTTCAATTTTATTAGTTTTTAAAAAATATTAAAAATGCTCAAAATTGAAATATAACAGGGGTGGAAATTAAACATTTTAACTTTTTGGTTCACCAAAAATTAAAAAAAAAGATTAATTTTAGGTCAACACAAAATGATAATTTCTTAACTTCTAGAAACCAAAAATATCCATTTATTTGCATGGATCTTGAGGGGTATCTTCTGAAGTTTCTATGTTGAGAACCTGGTATCCATTTGAAACTTCTAGTGTGTGGAATTCAGTGCATCTAAAAGCACAAACACAAATGCTGTAGCTTTTTCCAGAGCTCAGATACCAATACTGCTAGAGTATGGATTATCTGAGAGCTTTCTGGGTATTTCCATACTATTGAGAATATCACGCCTAGAAATAAAGCCATTGCTAATGGATGGCCATAGTGAATGTACTGATGACTCTGATCAACTGTCCTTTAATATGATTAAGCAACATAAATCAAGACACACATGTGGATGGCAGCTTGGCCCAACCTGTAAGATAATCAAGCTTTCCCGCAAAGAGTTTGCCAATCATCTAAGGAAGACAGATGATCCTTGTTGGACAGTCAATACTCAGAAGAATCAAAAGAACATTCTTCAAGGGACAGGAGGACAATAGAAGGGTATGCTGTCTTCTGGAACCAAGACACAAGATGCCACTCTAAGATTGGATAGGCTTCTAAAGCTGATGCACAAGGACTTTGATAGTTGTTCATATTGTCACTAATGACACTACATCACAGATCTGAGATAACTTCAGGGAACTTGGAAGTGTGCTAAAGAAAAAGAATGTCCAAGCAGTCTTCTCTGAGATCTTTCCTGTCCCACAAGTGAAGGAGGACAAAAAGCAGAAGATTCTAGAAAAGAACCCACTGGATAGGTGAGTGGTCTAAAATGAAGGGATTTGGTTTAGTGAAACATTGGGCCACTTTCCATGGGGAGATGGAACTCCCCATTTATAGGTTGGATGGCCTCCACCTCAGTAGAAGGGGTGGGACTGATCTCCTCAGGAACACTTTGGCAAGAGTAGTCAGTAGGGAGTTAAATTAATAGAAAATGGGGTAGAAAAAAGAGGGAAGATAGAAGCACTCAGCACAAAATTGAGATGCTGAGAACAAAATTAATCAAGGAACCAAAGGACATGAAGAGAAGAAATTCTTGAATTGCCTATACTCCAACACTAGGAGTCTGGATAACAAACAAGAGAAACTGAAATTGCTCATTTATGACCATAAATTCAATCTACTTGGTATTTTTGAAACCTGATGGGATGATGTGTATGATTAAAATGTTAAAATCAATGGTCATAACCTATTTACAAAGGACTAAGTAGGCAAAAGGGAAGGGGGAGTGGCACTACGTCAAAAATGGCATTACCTGTTTCTGAGTCACTGATAACTTGGAAGAAAATGATCTTGAATGCTTATGGATCAACATCCTCCAGATAAAGCACAAGATGGGATATTAGTTGGTGTCTGTTACAGACCACAAAATCAGACTAGAGACTATCTGCCTCCTTATGCACCCATCTATAACGTGTAGGAAAAGCAGGCGAGTACTCATGGGAACACTTACTTGTGTGACAGAGACTTTCAAATGGCTGCATGTGCTAGTGAACTAGCCTCGTTTTACTGAGGAAAACCATGGCATGACAGAAAGCACACAAAATCAAAAGAGCCACACGTAGTTGCATTCTGCAATTATTTTAGAACTTGTTTCCATTTCAAAAAGCTCAAAAAGGGGGGCCTGGCTCCTAATTAAATCAATGAGTTTTGATATTTACTTCAGTTGGAACAGGACTGAACTCTTGTGCTCTCTCTAATTTTTACATAAAGATATGGAGTTACTTACATTTTCTTCGATGGAGAGGAAACGTACCATATGTGGTTAACAAAAGTCCTGATCTTGCTCCCACTGAAATAAAAAGCAAAATTCTGGTTGACATTAGCAGCAGCAGGACTGAAGCCGATCACAGATTTTCTGTTATTCACAATATGCTTTCTCAAATTTCCCTCCTGTATAATTTGTATCATTCAAGTATAAATCATTCAAGTATAAATAACTCAGTTTCTACTAATTTTCCTGTCCAGGGGGGCTAAACAATCAGGCAGGTTACACCTGGGAGTGACTAGATTGTGATTTCTTTTCCCCCTCTTTCAAGCAGCTGCATATTGGGTTTGTGTATTATTTTAAAGACCATTGCAGGGGTACAATAAAACCATTGATGCTATGGAGAATAGTAATCAAGAATTAAGGAGTATTTGCCCTCCTCCTTCCCACAGCAAGGGACTAAACGAGAATAAACAGATCTAGGCCTCTCATATTTCATTACTGTTTTTATAGCTACCTTGTTCAAGCTATTGTTCTGATCCACCAAGAAGCTTTTCAACTGACTGAAGATTTATCCCTAAACCATTAACACTGTTTAATATCAGGTGTATATGAATCAGACAAAATTCTTCATTAAAATACTCCCATGACAAATACTATGAATGTCCTAGTAATTATGGGTGGGGATTTTCGTGCAGTGGCTGATCAAGCCTTGGAAAAGAGCCATGGCCTTATGCATTCAAATACTAAGCTATCTTGATCCTTGCAGCCCTCATTTGTGCTTTTGGGAATATAGGACAGGTGTGGCAGTTACTAAGCCTGGGTACTTGAGAATTCACCTTTTATTACTTGGTGCATTATTCTCGTTCAGACTTGTTTTGGGTCTAATGAGTCCCATTTAAATCAAGTGTACCTGTGATACATAGTATTTTTCTTTCAGGCCATGTACCTACTTCATTTTTTCCCCCTGTGTAGTTCTTCAGCCTCGCCTCTCCTGTCACATTGTAGGAATGGGAGCATAACAGGTGGCAGTGAGAAACCTATTATTTATCCCTGGCCACTTAAAAAAAACACCCCTTTTCATTTGCCTTAGATAACTAAAAAACCTTATATTAAGCATAGTGCTATAAATACTGAGGTAAGATTAGCTAGGGCTTTGACCCCGGTCCTACTGAAGTCAACAGCAAAACTGCCAATGATTTTAATAGGAGCAGAATTGCGCCCCTAGTTATCTAAGGCAAAACTGGAAAGAGTTTAAAGGCAGCCACAGTTTGATATTCAATTTACTACCTTGCCAGAACATGGCAATCTTCTCCCCTTTAGATAAGGCAGTCTCAGAATGGCCTAAAAATTTAGGCACCTATGAGCAATGTGATGCACAAATATCTTTCTTCCAGATCAAGCTGTTCTCCTTAGAGAATATGGAAGAAGGGGATACAGAGGAACTTGATTAAAACTTTTCAAAGCTGAGTGCTCCAAATTAGACTCCGGTATCAATATTCAGCTGTTTAAATATAAGTTCCCTGATATTCATAGGTGTTGAGCATCTATATCCTCTGTTGACATCAGTGGGATTTATGGTTGCTCCACACTCCTGAAAAATCAGGCCATATATTAGGTATCTAAGTTTAGGCACCCAGGTTTGAACATATTGACTCTTATATAATAAATGTCACAAGAATATGAAAATCACATGTGTCCTACCTGCATTCTTGTCTGATCTCAAGAAAGTGTGTGTGAGACTAGAGAAAAAAATACACATCTTGTGACCTGGCATTAGCATTCTATTAATGAAAAAGCCAGCATGAAAGTAAAATGTCAACAGAAATATGCAAGACTAAAGTCAAATTGCTAAATGCAGACTCATTAAATCTGAAAATGTAAGGGAAAATGAAGGCCCATACTGTTTTTCTTTATGAACAAAAACATTTGCAGAAGAAAGTACAAATAATGAGCATAAAACTGGGATCACACAGAAAACCTCAAAAACATTAAAACAAGGACAAATAGTTTTTGCACTCTAGGTGATAGGTGGTGAACCTTCTTAAAAATGTTCATAAGGCTTAAGGGAAAGTATGGTCTTTAGGTAATGGTACCTTCACTTTAATATAACTGTATATATTATTACAATATGCACAATATTAATACTGGAACATTGCTATGGGAGCCCACCTAGCATCAAACAAATCGGAAAGGATTCTATCCTAGCAGGGATTTGGTAGTTCTGGTGACACTTGAATTCAAGAACTATTGTACATGGCCAGTTACCTGGCAATAATTTGTTAAGGTGTGTACATCAGTGGCATATCTAGACAGCATTAATCAATTTTCTTTCTCTACTAGTTGGTAGGTTTCTTCAGTTTTCTCTCTTTCCTGAAGGCCCAGTCTGGTTCTCACTGAAATGAGGAGTTGATCTTTCAAACAATTAAGCATGCATGTAACTTTATTCATGAGTAGTTCCACTGAGTTTTTAGCATTGTACACTATTCGTATGAATAAGGTTACGTATGTGGTTAAATATTTGCAGGATCAGGTCCTAAAATGATGAGTTTAGTCTAAATTTTTCCTTACATCAGATTTCCCTTATGAGGATTAATGAATGTAAGGCACAATTTGAGGTCCCAGGAAGGCATATTAGAAGTACACATTATTCAAGTATTATTAGGGCCTGGCTAATGTTTCATATTTACCTCAAATTTTTGTTTATACGGTTGGTGTAATATGAATTAAATCACTAGTGAAAAGCTGCTGGCTGCAGATACCATCAGAGAAAACATCAAAGAGTTTCAACTGGAGAAAGAACAAAATTAAAGTTGAAGATGTTAAAACAAATGTTTGGTGATTGGTGAGGAAATAGTCCCAGGTAGCAATGAATTGAGTAATTTGTCCAGACTAATCTTCAGAATTCTTCCTCAAGATATGTTTTATTTCTACAAGGCTTAAAAAAACACACATAAGACCAGAGGCCCAAAATCTTTTATGTATCTGGCAAAACCATATTATTATATTTGTGCATACAAATGCTATTACTAGCATGTTTCCTTTGTGTACACCAAAACACTGTGTGGGCAGGTATAGGGTCAATACATTGTATTACAGTCTTGGCTTACACATGAACTTGAACACCTAAATTTGGTCAAAAATCAATGTTTCACACATGCAAGCAACATAAAAAATTGATCATATAGCCCTAAGTTTTCAGAACTGCTGCATGCATTTCCTACGACTGCTGATACAAATAGCCAGCATGACAATAATGCATATGCAAATTGGGTATGCAAATAAGCACATATTTTTACATGTGTATCTGTGCGTGCAGAATTCAGGATATCTGGGCTGTATCTTGTGGGTATAAAAGCTGTTACTCCTATAGCCCCCACACACACTTCCTGAGGCTTTGGAGGTATGTGTGAGCAAATCTGTTAATCCAATAGCCCTGTGCACTCAGTCTGGCACTGAGTGTGTGTGTGTGTGTGTGCGCGTGCATGGGCGGGGCTAAAAGCTATTATGCCAATAGTTTCCTTCCATCCACCCACACTGCTTGGAATTGGAGGAGAGGGTAAAAGTGTTTACCCTGATAGATCCCCTGCCTCTGAGATTGGGGTTGTGGTTAAACAGAAATCTTACAGTTTGGTCATGGGGTTTTGACAGGAACATACCTAACGTGAGTAAGAACTCCTTCTTTCTTTGACACAAGAGGCTGTGTTAGCGGGAAGGACATTTCCAGAGAGGCGCTGGGTGACCTTTTTCCACTTTCAGCCCAAGAAGTTGAATCTACATTTGAGAAGTAACTAAGTTCCTCTTATACAATGCTAAAAGGGAGCTCACCTGTTGCCTAGTTCAGAAGAGCAATAATGTTAGCTTGGTTTCCTCTCATTGTTGTCACTAAAATTTCTTCTGACTGAGGCCAGGCTAGTTTGCTTTCAGGAAAGCAGTGTGCCAGACATGAATTACTCCTGGGGGAAATCTGCGCTACTGCGCAATGCAGAATTTTGTAGAAATTAGCGTGCATGCAGAATTTCCTTTCCTCCACAGAAATGGGCTGCAGTGCTGCTAGCAGCCACTAGGGGCCATTGGATTCTGCAGAGCCCAGCTTGCCCATGGAAGACACTGCTGGGGGAAGGGGAAGAGAGCTAGAGCAGGGGTTCTCAAACTGGGGGTCGGGACCCCTCAGGGGGTCACGAGGTCATTACATGGGGGGTCGCGAGCTGTCAACCTCCACCTCCCCAAATCCCCCCAAATCCCGCTTGCCTTCAGCATTTATAATGGTGTTAAATATATTAAAAAGTGTGTTTAATTTATTAGGTGGATCTCACTCAGAGGCTTCCTCTGTGAAAGGGGTCACCAGTAAAAAAGTTTGAGACCCACTGAGCTAGAGGGTTCCTGGCAGCTGCAGTTCCCATTACACCCTGGGGGAAGGAGATGGTGCTGCGCAGGAAACTGACTCCGTGCAAGCCTGTGACAGAGCATCAAGCTGTTTCTCCCTCTGATCCCTGGGCTCTAGGGGGGATGGGTGTTTGGCAATGGGGGGGCCCTGCGGTTGGGCTCTGAGGAGGAGGGGATGCGGATGTATTGGCTGGGGGGGGGTGCAGGTGGGCTCTGGGGGGAGGGGTTTTGGGTGTCTCCCTTCCCTCCCTGCCCCCAGCTGGGCTTAAGGAGGTGGGGGGAGGCGGGGGGGGTGGGGGGGGAGGAGGCAGAGAAACAGGAACTGGGTTGTCATAGTGGTTTCTCTAATCCTGGAGAAATTTTTGTGTCTGTATTGTTACAGACATACTTGCTGACACATATTTTGAAATAAATTACCAAAATAATTGAAACTGGCATGCTTATGTAGTGTTATTTTGATAAATAAAATTTGCAGAATTTTAAAATACTGTGAGAAGAATTTTTAATTTTTTTGGCACAGAATGCCCCCAGGAGTAAGGAATGTAGGCAGACATGGCATGTACACCAAAACATACAATTCATTTCCTTTGTGTGTGTGTGTGTGGGGGGGGGGGGGGGTAATGGTTTTTGTTTTATGTTGATTCGAATGTTCTCCAGGCCTTTAATTAACATCTTACAAGGCATCTATCTAACTGCAGCTGCTGAGTGGGAAATGACATGTAGCCCTGAGAGATCATGGAGATACTGCAGGGAGGATGCAACAAAGAAACTGGGATTTAATATCCAATAGATTGTCCAATATCTACTTATACTGTTGGTTGATAAAAATTACTACAAATTCCTGGATTTCGAAGATTACTAATAAGAGTTCTCGGTCATAGATTTCACCAGAATAGAAAGATACAGAAAGACAAAGGTGAATTAGAACAGAACCTACAAACAGCCATAGAAGGATCTTCAAGAAATGGGGGGTGTTGGCTTGCTCATTTTCCCTGGTCCATGGCTTCTTTAGGCCAGTTTATTATACAAACATAGCTCATGAAAGATAGAGTTTTCTGCTTGGAGCACCTTCTAGAAACCCCTTCCTTCCCCCTCTAATCAGTGTGTGTGGGGGACTGTTATCGCAGTAGCAAGTTCTCCCCTCAAGCAGTGCGGGGGACTATTGGGGTAACAGGTTTTACCTCCCACCCAATCTCAGGCAGTGGGGGGGTATTGGGGTAACAGGTTCCCCCCCCCCTCCGCCCCCGTGTCAGGCAGTGTGTAGGTGAGGGGCTATTGGGATAACAGGTTTTACTCCCCACCCAGTCTCAGGCGGGGAGGGGGGGGGGTGTACAAGGGTAAAAGGTTCCCTCCCAGTCTCAAGCAGTGTGTGGGTGAGGGGCTATTGGGATAACAGGTTCCCCCCAATCTCAGGCAGTGGGGGGGTATTGGGGTAACAGGTTTTAACCCCCCCGCCCTCGTGTCAGGCAGGGTGTGGGTGAGGGGCTCTTGGGATAACAGGTTTTACCCCCCCGCTGTCGGGGGGGGCTATTGGGGTAACGGCTCTCCCCCACCCGAGGGAAAAGCGCTCCCTGGGATATGGGTGGGATGGGAGCGTGGAGGGAGAGGGCAGTGCCCAGCCCCAGGGGGATTTACCAACCCCACAAAAACAGTACCTCTCTCTTTAAGAGAGAAGTGGGGTGTCTGATTGGCTCTGGGGACTGCCAATCGGGGCGGCTATTGCATCATCCCTGCGGCAGGCCGGCCTCTGATTGGCTAGGACGCTGGGCCGAAGGAGAAGGGTTTCGCAATCGCCGCTCGCCTTCACTCACCAGTTTAAAGAAAGAGACTCGGGCCCAGCCCGCGCCCCCCTCCCTGATCGATACCGGTCTCGATCCCCGGGCCAGGTGAGGCGCGGGGCCGCTCCGCCGCGCGCAGCGAGACCCTCCTCCCGTCCCCGGTGAGGGGGAGCCGGCCAGGCCCGGTACCCCCGGGGTGGGTGGGGGAATGCCACCGGGCACAGGCCGAAGCGGGGCGGCGCGGGAGGAGGAAGCTGTGGGGCTGCTGAAGAGGAAGGATGAGGGGTGCAGCGGGGGGCCGATCGGGGAGTTGTGGGAGCTTACGGGGGTCTAGGGAGAGTTGTCGGGTGGGGGTGGGGTCTGTTGGAGATGTGGGGTGGGTAGGTGGGGGGTCTGGTCAATGGGGCGGGGTCTGAAGGGGTGGTCTGGGGTGGGCATGTGTGGGGGGCGGGGTCTGTGGGGGTGGTCTGGGGTGGGGCTGGGAGTTCTGGTCGGTGGAGGCGTCTGGGGAGGGTGTCTCTCAATGGGGCGGGGTCAGTAGAGGTAGGGCGGGGTGGGGCTGGAAGTTCGGGTCTGTGCGGTCTAGGGGGTCGTGGAGAGGGCGAGTGAGGGGTTCGGGGGCCGGGACTTTCCTCACGGTTACGCGGTGGTGTTTCGCGTGGAGAGCGTATGATGCAATCTCCAGGCAACTCTCCTCCCCGCTGGGATGAAGTCATGCTTGGCACGGAGAGGGGAGCCCGGAGAGAGGGTAGGCAGGCCTCTGCTCCCCGAGTCCCCAACCACACCCTGCTTCCTGATGGGGGAGGGACAGACACACACAGAGCGCCCCTCTCCCTCCCTACCCCCCGTGGGGCAGCCGTAAGAGAAGGGCCGGGGGGCAAGAGCGAGGGAAAACCACAGACACACCCTCAAGCTAGGAGAAGTGCAAATACTGACATAGAGATCAACAGTAAGAGGATGATTGAGGCCTAGGGCACAAAGGTGAATAACCTCTCCAGAAAGCCTATTTGTTTGAAAAATGTGTAGTTGCTGTACACAAGCTTTTATTGCACCTTTTGGAAATGGAAGATCCAGTCACTCAAAGACATCAGCAAGGTGGGCTAGGAGCACAGCATGTTAATAAAAATATTTACTATTCATATTTATGCATAGCTGGATGTATTAGCTACAGTGTTAAGTGATTCCTTCAGCTTTCCTTTAATACTTTAGAGATCAAAATAGTTTGTGAATAAAAATATAATCCTCGGGGTTCAGAATGAAGCCCTCCTTTCCTGTTGGGTGCTGTACTAGTCTAACTTCCTGGTGGGAACCACTGTCGTAAACAGCACTATGCAGGTCTAAAGTGAAGTCAAACATAACCTTAAAAACAAAAAGGAATTTTTAAAAAAAGTATCTTTTATGTGTGGGGCAAAAAAAGGTACTTTTAAAATTCCTTTATGTTTTTAAGGTTTTCATAGTTTACAGGGGTAGTAGAGAGACTTGGGAATTAAAGGTGAAGAGCAATGGTTTTGTCAAAAGATTACAACTTTTTTGTAGGATTCCCAAAGGGGGAAACTGTATATGGCTGTCTGGAAATGTATGTACTACTGTATTCAGCAAAATTACCTCCTTAAGATCCTGACAATTCTGAGCTGCAGACTTCTGATTTTTCTTCATCGACATCACAAGTAATATGAATAAAAGGGATGAAACTATGGTGTTAGAATAGTAGTTCTTTTGAGGGACACTTTTACAGGGGCATGATTCATGTAGTTAGAAATTTAGATCATTGGAAGCTTTTCAGATGTTTTTGTAAGTTGAAAAAAATTTCAAAGTGGAAACTAAAGAGTTAATTTTATAAAAAAGTCCCCTGTATTGGTTACAAGGGGCATGTTGGGAACTTGAAAATGAAACTGACTATAAATGAAAATGAAATTGACTAAGCCAGAGGGAAATATATAAATACTGAAAAGTAAACTGAATTTTAAAAGTTTATTTCAATAATCTTATGATGGTGTTGGTAAGTATGTACACACCTTCATTTGACATTGTCCTTTGTTTATGGTACTTGTGATGTCCTTCTCTTTGCCAACCCCCCCCCCCAGGAAATCTGCAGTTCAGATTTTTTCAAGATTTCAGGGAGCTAATGATCTTGAATTAAACTGGGCATATACACTTTTTCTCTTTTGGACTCTTCAAGGGAGTTTTGAGTATTTTCATAAAACCTTTGTTTTCCCAGACAAATCTTCATATCCCTACATAAATATTTTAAAAAATAAATTATTTGCACTGAATATATCTGACTTTGCTTTAGGTATTCAGTTCTGAAAACTGTCAGGAAATGCCCTATCAAAGTTCCTTAAAATTTTTAAATGCAAAATTATTCCATGTTGGTTGGAACAAATATTAGACACAATTTTTAAAAAACGGGTCAAAGATGAAGTAAAAGATTTGTTTTAAAAATTGGTTAACTATTAAAGTAATCAACATATTTTAAAACCAGAGTTGAAATTACTCTTCAAGTTTGAAATTCTGTGCCTTTTCCATGACATCTGAGAATCAGACTGATTCCTGTATCTTGTCCTACACCATGAAACTGATGACAGCTCCTGCATGATTTTTATTTTATTATATTTAAGACATTTAAAGTACTTGGTTACATTTCTTCATAATTAGAGGTTGTGATTATATTTTTGTTACACAGTTTTCCCATGACATGTAGAAAAACAGTTGAGATATCTAGGAAAGCATGGAAGAGGAATATTTTCTTTTGATCTTCTTTGTGACAGCAGTTAGTGGGTAGTGGATTTAGGGCCCTGTTCTGAGCAGTCTTGGTCCTGTGAGTTGAGAGTGCTCAGCACCTTGCAGGATTGAGCCTTTAACCGAGGTGTACAGCAAATGTAGGTTTGGAGCTTTTATTCTGTTGTCATTTATATACCATTATCTGGACTGAATACAGTCCTGCGGTTTTAGCTCAGGTGAACAGGCCCACTGAAGTCAGAAGGAAATTAGAAATACTCAGCACCTTTCAGGTTCAGTTTCTATTTGGGTAGTATAAACAAGACAGTTGACTTAAAATTATACACTTAAGGCATTCTACCTAGATGATCATAGTCAACTCTATCTCACCTCTCAGAAAATAGGCAAGGAGCAAAATGAATGTCTGAAGTGCTGAAGAAGTGGTAAGAATTGTTACTCAAAAAATGAGCCAAATTAACATTTTGTTTATCATAAAATCTAAACAGCCCATAACAGAAGCTTCTAAACAGAATATTGACTTATAAAGAGACATTCTTAAGGACTTCAAAAGGGTTAATGTTTTACCCTCCACTATTTATAACAGTATCTTAGAAGCTTAGGCAAAAGGAGGAGTATTTGTTCTTCAGTGTGACAAATATAATTTACCCCTTTTCCTCTGCTTCTAAGGAAATTAATATGACTAGGATCATTGAAGTCAGATCTTTGAATTCTAGCTGAATGTTCATTGGGAGTTAGAAGAGCAAGCACTTATTTTATTATTTTTAAAGTCTCTATTCAAAATCTGGAAAACATTCTTTATCTGATTTCAGTAATTCATATTTAGAGCCTAAACTGTTTACAATCTGTACTTAATGTATTCCTTAGCATCACTGAGTGTAGTTGCATCCTCACAAACACCAAACAATCTCTTACGCTTAAAGCAATATACACATTCACGTACCCTGCAGGTAGCTGGAAAAATGATTATATTTTGCTATGGGATTTGCTTAAACTGCAGGCATTTGCATTTTGGCCTCCACTGGATGATGTTCAGGGGTCTACTGAAATTGGGTGCTCGCTAGCTGATGCCTGTGGGCCTACAACAATGCTCACTGAGCTATTACTACATATCTACTACGCAGTTGTTCAAATTGCTTATTAAAGTGTTATTTCCTGTGAAATTATTGCTTGTGGAAAATGGTAGACTGACAGCCTGGGAGATCAAAGTCCTCTGTTTCAGAACAGGTACAGCACAGGCAGCAGCAGTGCAGACTTCCCAGCACTGCCTGCCAACAGTCCTGCACTCTGACCTGGACAGATCTTTTGGGACAAAATAGTTGGTTTGATAGTCTTGACAGAGAAGTAAAGGGCTGAAGGGACCACCAACTAAGGTGGAGGTTTTTTGTGACGTGGACATCTCTCTAGCAAGAGTTGCACTTAACCCACTAAACAGCTATCAGATGGTGGTAACCTACGATTACGATCTGAAATTGGAGGTGGAAAGTGCCACACTCAGTGAACATTCCCTTGATCCTTCAGTTGTCACATTAAAGCTTTTAAAAAACCATTTGAATAGGGAGGAGAAATTGGTCTTTTCCTCCTTCCCCCAAGCTAATGCTAAAATCACATTAAATACTTACAGTAGGAAAACAAAAACATGACATTTGGCAACATGAAGAGACTTGTCAAGATCTGGGTGGGGTGCTTGTTGGGCATGGGCTATCCAGATCCAACCTCCTCTTCAGAATCCTGAAAAGTACAAAAAGCAATTGCATGTTACTGTTACTAACATGTTATCTAACTGGACTTGTCCAAACATAGTTAATGAGGGCCCTAGGAGTAATGGACTGGGGGGTAGGATAGCATATGTCCAAAACCAGCAACATGACAAAAGTTACATAAATTGAGTGTAATTAGAAGGTTCACATGGGGTCTGTTTGAGAGGTATACAATTTTGCGTGTGTTAGAGATTCAGAGTATTATTTGGGAGGGTAACAAGCACAAGTCAAAAATTAAGAAACAAGCAAATGCTAGGACCCTGACTTTAATAAACATCCATGTGCAGTTCGTGCAAATCTAGTACTTGCACATGGAGCTGGCTTGCTGAGAATCTGTCCATGTGCATTTGCAAATTAGCTGCATAGTTAGGGGAATCAGGACCTAAGAGCTCAGTGTAGCATGAATTACCAAAGGTTGCTTTAAGAGCTGCAGTCAAGAACTTATTAAAGACAAGGCCTAGACAGGCACATACAGCTGGATAGACATTATCTGGGCTACATGGGCTCCTTCTGCCCTGAAATACTATTTTCACTACGAAGATTTTTTTGGTAGCAGATAAATGTGCCACACTTCTCAGTGCACTTCTCAGTCATTTTAAGGAAATTGCTTTTTAGTGTGTAAGGGTT